TCAGAAGGTAATTTGAATTATACTTCCCTTGGTTGGACTAAGCATCTCTGCTTTGTCACTTTTTGATTTGTTGACTGTACATGTCATGTATGTCAACTCGAACAATCTTATACATAACTTTTATTATCATAATAAATCCTTGTTGTCTTCAAACCAAATATCTTCACAATACCGTTTAGAATTCTTAAATTCTATAAAAGAGACTGTATTCAATACAAACAATATGTAATTATTTATTTTTTTTGATGCTAATATTTCTCACATAAATAAGTAAATGGGTGAAAATTTAGTAGATGCGTGACAGGTAACTTAAAATTGAATAGTATAGGTATGCTAAATAGAAATGGTCTTCAGACACGTTCTTATAATCATTTTTTAATGAAGAGATGAGATTGAAATTCTAATAATTTATTAAAAGTAAAACGACTTGATTTTGTATTTTTTGATAAAATTGCAGTATAATGTAATACATCAATGCGAAGAAAGAAATTAAATCTTGGATGAAAATTTTTATCTTTCCTTATTGAAAGTTTAATAACTTATCCGCACAAACCGTTTCTAGTAATATTAAATTTACATTTATAAAAATATGCAGGACTTTTTTAATGTAAGTGTGAAATAGATCAAGATTTTATGATCAAGATTTAGGATCGTTCGAATTCTGCAAGTATTCAATATGAAAACATACTGTATTTATAAAAAAAAACTTGGTAATTTATATTTACATTTTTAATAACCAAGTTTTTATAATCTGTTTGAACATATAATGCAAATTAATAAATAAAAGAAAATTTGTAATCAATGCAGTTTTATTATGCAATGACGTTAAGTAATTTTATATGAATAATAATCACTCGGAACATAATTTAATTTTAAAGATTCTATATATAAAAACATATTTAAATTATACTTTACATTTATATAACAAATATTATTATCGATAATTATTAATAAAATATTATTTAAACCACCTCCACCAAAAAAACCTTTTAGCATTTTTCATCCCTTTTTTCTACTTCAAAATAATATAGTAAGCTATAAAGTTCCAAGGATATATTATTTATTCCTTTCCATTTGTTTTTTATACTCTCTAGATAAATTTTCCTTGTCGGCAGTAGACATCTTGGCTCACCAATTTTTTCTAACGTAGTTTTTATGTTTTCTAAATCATTATTAAATGTTTTCCACTTTTCTGAAATGAACAAAAATAACGTTAATGCCAATTTTGGCTAAGAAAGAGTAAAAATGAAACCTTTTTAATTACCACTTATTGTCTGTAAAACAAGAGAAGTATCTGACATAGATTGTGCGAGATCATTTATTGTTTGTTGCAATTGTTTAGGATAATTTTTCCCTAAGAAAAAAAAAGAAATGATTTTTTCAGAAATTATATTTCGTGAAAGATGCTTTTTTTTTAAATATACAGTACTTTGAAGGTTACTTACGACTCTTACTAGACTTTTGAAATTTTTTATCAATCATATGAATAATAGGTTTTAGTCCAGTTTCCCAATCATCTTTTACAACGAGGGCAAATTGTTTAAAAAGTACATTTAATTTTTCACATTCATCACAAAATTGGCCAACTCTATTAATCTCTTCGCTTATCCAACTTTCAAATTTCTTTTTATAATCATTAATTGTATCGTCTTTACTAGATTTTTCCCTCCCAGATAAAAGATATTGTTCTCTAAATGTTTCATGCCATTTTTTTGCCACGGCAATCATATCATCATAATTTTCAGGGACTATTAACGAATATCTATAAATTCCTTCAGATAAATAAAACATATCTATTATCGTCTCCCCTTCTTTAAATTCTCTACAATGAAAAAATATTTGTGAAAATTTATTTTGTACCAAGCTTAATTCCGCTTCTTTTTCCCATTTATCATCCTTAATAGAATATATTGACATAAATTCTGGGACGGTAAATGGAATTTTTGTGGTCGAAAGAATCAGAAAATCCTGAATTGTTTTCATGTTCTGTTTGTTTATATTAGATTGTAATATTTGAACCCAAGTTTTTTTGGGTCTCGAATCCCTTGTAGGCTTTTCATATGCCATTTGTGTAATAATTTCACCTCCAAATTTCCAACGTATGCAGATTTATATGATTGTATGAGCGATAGCTTTTACGCTAAAAACTTATTATTTCTTAATTTTTGTTCATGATAAGTTTGAATACTGTATTTATAAAAAAAAACAAATGAACTTTGTACGTAAAACTTTTGATGTTTCATGCGGAATGTTTGTAATACAGTCTTTAGAAAATCATGGAAATTTCCTCAATGAATTTCCTCATTTCGGGTATTGTGCAAACAAAATCATATGTGTTACGTACATTGTTTATGAACCGGAGTTCATGCCAAGAATACTTGTTATGGTAATGAGTGGCGAAGAAAGGAAAATTCACATTACTTAAATTGAAACAATACAAATTCAGTATATACTTAAAAAAGGTTTTCTTGGTCTTTGTTCACATTCAACAAGTGAGTAATATTCAAGGTTCCATAGGTTTGAAGTAATTCTATCGTTGTTCTCAAATTAGGAATATTTTAATTTATCGAACGAGCTGTTTACCAATATTCTTGAACCTATTATGATAATTTGCCTAATTATATCTTCTCCCTTGGCCACTATAATTAAATACATAAATAAACTACATAAATTATTTCTTTATATTTCCATAAACGTTTGTCAAACTTATGCCAGTTTTTTTTTAAAAAATAAACAAAATGGACTATTAGCTCATCTTTTATTATTGTTTTTTTTTTTTTAAAAAAAAAAAGTACTGATACAAACAGGAAATTAACGTTATCCTTGGATGTTTTAGGAAATCTCTTATCCTAATTATGATGCAATATCGATGTATTTTGTCTTGTTTAACTTTATGTTCAAAAAATAAAATTTCAGTTAACCCTACTTTAAATCCGGCCTTAAGTCCAATTGATCTAAATCCGTGGTTCGTTGCATTTTAGATATTGAAATTGAGAATGTTAATTCTCAAATTCGTTAATTTATTAGTCGGATGTTCGTACTCAATATGTTCAGACAATACGAATTTTAACAAAATTTTGTATAAAAATTAGGTTTGCAAAATTTTTTATAAAATCATAAAGCTGTTTAATTCAATTCAATTGCTAAAAATACTTGAACTTTGAAAAAATTGATATTAATTTAAACTCAAATTAGTAAGGTCAATGGACACGAGACCCCACCAACGCAAATACAGGAACGTTAATGTAGCACAAAATACGCATTTGATTGCCGTATATCGTCATCTCCGTCATTTATGCTAATTAAAGTTTAATGGGGCGGTTGTTTTACGTATCCTAAAAATTGGTTTTGGTAAACAATTTCTAAAATTTATTATAATTACTAAATTTAGTAATATAATGTAAAACATGTCCCTTTGTTTACTACTTCTGGAACAATCTATGCATCATATATGTTGTATTAATCCAATAGTGCATATTTCTAGACTACAAGATTATTCTATCAGAATTCCGAAAAAGTAGTACTAAAAAAAATGATGCGCATTAAAACAAACAAATTTATACCTTCCGTATATTTGATTGTTTACTTAATTTGATAACCTGACCGAATATCCTAACCACCTGATGTTAATATTATACGTAATCATACAACGCTTAATCATTAAGGTAGTTGCGCGCTAAAACCAAGAACATGGTGTATTTAATTTACGATGTATTAAGCTTAGCGGTTATATATAATGAGGGGTGGTTTTCTTATTGAAGTAAACTAGTTCAAGTTCGCTGTGCGTTTAATTTATTATATCAGGAAGCTCGAATATGTGCTTTTAATTTCGGAAGTTAATTCAAAATGTTATATGCATATAAAGTTATTTTTTTGTTTGGATGCGAAGCATCTAATATCTAGTTTACCCGGCAGGTATGACGTATACACTGACGGACCATATTATTACTCTCTTTGATTAATAATAATAAGCACTGATAATTCGAATGATGGGTATATGATGATAAGGGAGCGATTGTGTTTTGATCCAACTCTTTCTTTAATACTTCAATATCATAATAAGCTACCAACCAACGAAGACTTATTAGAGCCTTAAACTCTCGAGAGTATAAAATACAGATAAATGTATCGTAAAATGGTTACGGGCAGTTGATAGATATAAAGATATACTCACTTATAAGTTCGAAGATTTTCCTTGTAATTTTTTCATGTGGTTAAAACGAATAAACGGAAGGAATCTAAAGTTAAAATATTCATGCTTCTCATAAACGATAATTGAAAGAATTCCAGCCATTAAGCCGTGCAACATATGGAACTCTTACAAATCCAAAAAACGTTACGAAGACAATCTTGAAATTTATGATGTTATTTAAAAGTTGTTTTTCGTTCTGCGTTACTCGCCGGCCTAATTTTTCAATTTCTCAATTTTTTTCTACAGCTATTTTCATAATTCCTGGAACACCTAATAAAAATTGACTTAATGATGTTCCGGCCGGTTCGATTATGTTTGTCAACAAAAATTGATATATTTACGTAATTTAAGATCAGGTGACTAACATAAATATTATACTATTAATACTGTATCCTTGGTTGAGTATAAAATATGATACTTTCAAAGCAGTTTAGCTGGAAAATCATCGAAAAAAATTTAGAAGGTCTTTTATTTCGAAAAATTGCCAAACACTTAAGTGTTAGTATATCTTCTGTAAGCCGGATTCTAAAGCACTTTCAAAAATTTGGGTACGTTGAAAAACTTCTATCACTTTTAGAAAACCATGTTTGCTAAACATGAATGATATAAATATCTGAAAGTTTTAATGAAGAAAAAACCTGACTAGTATTTATATAAATTGCAATTCGAGATAGAACCTTGGTTGGGACATGATATTAGTTTTATAACAATCTGAAGGGCTATATACTAACTTGAATATATACATAAAAAAGTAGTATTTCATATAATTATATATATATTTTAATAAAATTATAGTAAAAGTATAGTAAAATAGTAGTAAAATAGTAGTAAAATAGTAGTAACATAGTAGTAAGTAGTAGTAGGCGTATTGCTAACTTATAGTAAACGTAAAGTGTAATTACTACAAAATAACTATATAGTTACTTTATAGTTACTTTATAGCTAATTACAAGTAGCATTAAAGTTGCAAATTTGCAAGTTTCAGT